CTTATTTTGCTCAGATGCCCAGACACATAATAATTGCTTGGGCTTGCATTTAGCCTGACAGCTGAAAAGATATTGACAGAGGAGATCACTCAAAGAAAAACAAAAGCATTACCAGAACTAATTCCTAATTTAATTTTAATGACAAAAAACTGAAATTGAGCATTTAATGTTTTCTATATTGAGAGGATTTTTTTTGGAAAAAAAACTTTTTTAATATTTATAGTTTTATACGCTTCTATTGATTTGGTCTTGAACGGACTGTGTTCGTGGGTGTGAGTTATTGTGGAACAGGTTTTTGTCATGTGTTATGTTTCTTCAAGTAATTAATAGCATATTGCTGAATACTTAATGCGTTTTGACAACTCTTATTGTGAAAAGAAATCTGGTTGGCCATTGTGGGAGACAGATGGGCTAGGTGATTCCCTGTAGACAACTTTTGGATGAATGGAGCATGTAGTGTGTAGGTTGGGGTGAACCTAAGTCAGATTGGTATAACAACTTAAGTAGGTTGGAACTGACGTGAATCATGAGTGTGATGTTTTGCAGCCTGCCATGTTAATGGTAACCACATGGATATGGCTTCATTCTAAGATTCCTTCTATTGTTCATGTGTTCTTGAGTTTTATGCTCAGATAATGTTGAATTGGGTAACACATTCGTTGCATCAGTTGGTCTGAAGTCAATTTCGTTTGGGAAATTACTGCTCTCCATGTGAACATACTTGTGTGTTATCTCAGATCATTAGTTTATATAGTTCAGTATTTGAGGCTGTACGCAAAGATCTTCCGAGCTCACTATTTAAATGGTGAGCATTTATCAGAAAGGCACATCCTGGAATCTCTTCTCGGAACTGTATCATAGTTTTATGATAAGAACAATGTAAGAGGTAACATAGGTACATGGCACTGTTTTCATAAGGTCCAGTGTGGAATCATGCCATCTCTAGTTGAAAGGTTTTCAATTAGATTGTAAGGCTGAGAAAGATTTATTTCCAGGATCACTCTGTGTGACATCTTGGAGATCTGCTGCCAGTCAGATAGAACAATAATGGACTACATAGCTCAGTAACTAATTTGTATATTTACAGCTTCAATGTAGTTTGCCTCCTGTTCTCCTCCTCCTTTTGTTATTATATAAGTATATGCATTAATGTATAGCATAATTCCAATTTCCTCAGTTGGTATCTCTCCAGGGGAGCACAATGTATATTCAAGTTTGTTTATTTGCAGTCTCATTTTACCCATATTTCAACAGTTATTTTCCAATTCTGGATTCAGTTTTTTTTTAAAAAATTCAATTTAGGTAAAGGTAAAGGTTTTCCCCTGACATCAAGTCTAGGCTTGTCTGACTCTGGTGAGTGGTGCTCATCTGCATTTCTAAGATGAAGAGTAGGCATTGTCCATGGACATCTCCAAGGTCATATAGCCAGCATGACTGCATGGAGCACCGTTGCCTTCCTGCAGAATCGGTACCTATTAATCTACTCACATTTGCATGTTTTGAACTGCTAGGTTGTCAGAAGCTGGGCCTAACAGTGGGAGCACACCCCGCTCCTGGGATTCGAACAGTCAACCTTTCGGTCAGCAAGTTCAGCAGCTCAATGGTTTAACCTGCTGCACCACCGTGGAGTGCAGCGGGATTACATATTCATAAAAAACAGTGAAACAAATACAAATACCAATACAGTACTTCCTAACATCTGTACAATATTTGTATTTGGTTATGCTCTCCCCTCCTTCCACCCCTCCCAATTTAGTGACTTCCTGTCCTTTGAGCTTGGAGATATTCATATATACCGTAATTTCTGTTCGTCTTTCCTATTACATTGTTTTTCTATTCTTCCTTCTGGTCTGATATTTATTATGTATAAATTCCCTACACAGATTCTAACGGGCAAAATTATATAAAGCTGTCTATACAAACCTTTCCTTCTTGCTTTTTTAAACATAATTTAGAAATGGTTCCCAGTCCTCAATAAAGTTTTTGTGTGTGTGTTTTCTTTGTTCATCATTGCTAATTTGTCGATTTCTGCTATTTTAAAGACTTTAACTATCGATTCTTCTATTGTTGGGAGGTCTGCCTTCTTCCAGAACTGTGCATATTCAGTTTTTACTGCTATTATCATGTAGTGCAATACTTTGTAGTTTAATTATTTTGTTTGGTTGACATCCCCCTCCCCCAAAAATGGCTTTAATTCTATTTTGGAATGAAAATATCCTTGCAGTATTTTTTTGTACCTTGCCCCAGAATTCTCTTGCTTTTTTCAGGACCACCACATGTGGAAGAAAGTTCCTTCCAGTTCTTTACATTTCCAGCACTTGTTGTTTCTTCTCTTAAACATATTAGCTAGTTTTGCTGGGGTCAGGTACCACCTGTTCATAATTTTATAAGCTTTTTATCTATGGTCATAGCACCAAATCTTCTTTAAGGCAATAGTCCACATTTTTCTCATTTATCTAGTTCTATATTGTGCCCAACATTTTAGGCACATTTAATTATACAATTCTTTATCAGTTCTGCTTTCATTTCTATCTTCAGTAATACTTTATATATTTTTCTAATAAGATGTTCTTCATTAGTACACAGTTCCTTATCAAATTCTGGTTGGTCTCTTCCAAATTCCATATTTTTACTGTCTAGTATAAATCTTTATTTCAGTTGCCTATATCTGTACCATGGTAGGTGAAGTCCTGCTTCCTTCAGTTCTTCTTGAGTTTTAAATCTATATATATTTATGAAATTGCTGTATGTAATCCAGGGTTCCCCTTTCTTTTTATCTATCTTATAAAAAGCTTATTCCATTACAATTGATAATGGGATTTTTGGACCTAGGTTAATTCTGTACTTGTTCTAAATCTTTAGTATGGTTTGTCTTATAAAATGGTGATTAAAATCTGTGTGTACTTTTGCTTTTGGATATCATATATAGACATACCATCCAAAATGTAAATCATGACATTCGAATTTTAACAGTCTCTCATTTCTTAAGGTTAGCCAATCTTACATCGAAACTTGTATGAATGCTTTGAAGTACAACTTCAGGTCTGTTAACCCCAATCTTCCTCTTTGCTTTTCATCATTCAGAATCTCGGTTTTAATTCTAGGCCTCTTGCCTAGAATCTAGTTAAGTCTTTTTTCCCCATTGTTGCGTCATTTATTATAATTGGAATGTTCTAAAAAAGAAATAGTTTTTTGGTAGCATATTCATTTTAATAGCAGATATTCTTCCTAATAGTGACAACTTTAATGTGCTCTATCTTTGCAAATCTGATTTTATTTCTTTCCATGTCTTTTCATAGTTGTCTTGAAATCATGTTGTATTCTAATTTGAGAGCGTCATTCCTAAGTATTTTACTTTTTTCAATTTTTAATCCTGATATTTCTTTTAGCTTTCTCTTCTCCTGTTAATTTTGTTGTAAAAACTTTGGTTTTTAGTTTATTTGTTTTAAAATCTGCTATTGTTCCCAATTATTCTCTAATGTATGTAGTAAATTCTCTGTGTTTTCTGTTGGGTCTTCTATTATAACCACTAGGGCATCTGCAAATGCTCTCCATTTGAATATTTCAATCTTAAATTTCAGCTCTTTGATTTTTTTTCTCCTCTGTTATTTCCCTTAATAACACTTCAAATGCCAAGATGAATAATAACTTGGACAGTGGGCATCTTTTCCTTGTCCCCTTTTGTATTTTACCTTTTTAGACAATTCTCCATTCACTAAAATTTTGGAGGTTTGTGTTCTGTAAATTGCTCTAATACATTTTGTTATGTTAGTTCCAGATTTCATTTCTTTCTAGAATTGCAAATAAAAACACTCAGTTTAAACTATCAAATGCTTTTTCACCATCCCTGAACACTAGTGCTGCTTTTCTTTTGTTATATTTATCCAGGTATTCAGTTGTGTCCAAAAGGCTCTCAGATTGTCCCAAATATGTCTCTTAGGAAGAAAGCCTGCTTGATATTCTTGTGTGAATTTATTTAAACATTTTTGAATATTTCTGCTAGAATTATTGTAACTAGCAGTTTTATGACCAGCAGTTACTATGTCCAGCAGTTCCTTAATCTTTCAAAATAGCACAGCTGCTTCTTTTATAATCCTTGTTCCATTATAATTCACTTCACTTAAAGTTTCGGGCTCTTGCATCCTCGATCTTTTTTTTCTCTATACAGTTAAATATTATTAGTTTTCATTTGTTTCACTGCTATATAGATATGATGCACAGTCTTGTAGCATTGATAATAAGTAGTTCAGTTTCTGTTACTAGTCTAGTCTAGCATTTGGGAGTGGATTCTTCTCTGGTTTTGAATGAAGCCTTGTTCCCAAGGCGTTTGCCTTGTTGCAATTCAAATACAGCACAGTTTGTTGTTTTCCAGGATCCCACTCTGACCATGTACTTCAAATAGTTACCTTACAGCTGTTTTGGAGGCTCAGGCTGGTCCCCTATGCTCTCTCTATACCAGGAGAAGATTCCTCGCTGTTTAGCAATTGTTGCTTTTACACTAACCACTGTGTTTTGCGTCCTCTCCTCAGAGAGCTGTGAGGACAAGAGGATTCGGTCTTAATAAGCATGCCCTTTTAGCAAAATAACCTTAAATTAACTACTTGATTATAACTTGTTCCTAAACACCGGGGACCAGTTACAACAGGGTGCTAGAGTATATACTTTGTAGGAAATGTCTGGTTTAATCCCTGACATTCCAGGTAGGTATGATAAGGAAACTGTTTATTTCTCTGAACATCTGATGCCAGTCAGTATACATACATTATAGCTATATGGAGCAATAATTTGATTTATAATGAGAAAACTTTCTAAATTCATATCAGGGCTCCTGTGGGGAGTTTACAATTATAGGCTAGAGCTATGGCTTTGAGCCCCCATAATCTTTTACTCCTAAAATTAATTAATAAGTATGTGTGCAAGCATATTATATATATATATATTTGAATTGCTGAAGCTTCTTAGCAATAAAAATACTAATGGAAATTTGTTTCCGCTACAAGACGTGAAAACAAAAGCAACATGGATAAAGCCAAGAGGGAGCTGACGAGCTCTTTGGGGAGGAGTCCCTATCCCCCATATTCCAGCAGTCAGACGTCTGACTCCTCCCCAGGATCCAGCTTATCCCCAACAGATAGTTCCAACAAAACAAGTAGCAAGAAGTACCCTGTGACAAAAGAACGAGGATTTTACTCTGATATCCTTGCACCAGGAGCTGCAGAACTTTTGGGGGTAAGTGTGCGGAATCCATGTTATGAAAGAGAATGGCTTGATTCTCTTACTGGCACAGTAATATTGCAGGGATGTCCCGATAGTATAGACTCCAATGAGCTACCTTGTACACAGTTTGAGGAGTTTCAGATTCAATTTAGTATGCATACTCTGGTTTCATTCTTGTCTTTCTACTAATACATTTTATCTTCAGCTGCAGAAACTTAAAAAATTGTCATTGTGCTATCGATGATGAGGTTCTCAGAAGGAACTTGGTGTATCTTTTTCTTTACAGTTTTGTTGCAATCATACAAATGCCTACATCTCCAAATAATACTTGAATTGTTGATTTTTTTTTCATTCTTCCTTGTTCCTCTATTTGCATAGATGTTTTCCTAATGGAATGTTTCTTGCCTTTAATTTTAGGAAGTGTGTGAGGGCCCCAGTGTATATAAGGATTTACTGAAACAATCAGAACTAGAGGAACACACTCCAAAAGGTAACAACACAGAAGAGGGCAAAGATGAGGAGAGAAAGTTGAACTCTTGAATCAGAAAATGGAAAAAATGTGATTGACCATTGACAATATCAAAAGCAGTAGAGCAGTCAAGTGGAATGAAGGCCAAATGAACACCTGTTGATTTACAGACAGGTGGATTGCCACAGCACTATTTCAGAACAGTAGAGAGGAGTCATGCTGAAGAGATGGAGAAAAAAAAGAGAAAAAAATGAGAAGTCCTGATAATTTGTTTTGTTAAAAGATAGAAGGCAGAAGTTGTTGTTGTTGTTTTCTCAAGGTGGTATGGAAGATAGTGTAAATGCAATATTTAAAAGTAGTTTGGTGTTTTTGTATTCAGTATGCACTTTTTAAAATGTATGAACTTTAAAAAGGCAAAAGATTTGAAGCACCAGTGAAAAACGTAAGACTGATTCTTGACAGGATCCTTATTGGACCCTAATCAGGCAGACCTTTGGTGAATCCTGGATTATCTAGTTGATTCCACTTTGGTTAAAACAGTGATTCCCAAAGTGGGTGTTGCAGCCCCCTTGTGGGCGCTGCAGTGATCTGGGTGGGGGAGCGGTAATGGCCAAAGGTGCATTTGAGGGCGATGAATAACTGTAAAGGGGCAGTGAAAGCATCAAAGAAAGAAGAGAAGATTTCAAAAAATTGATTTCCAGAGAGTAGGCCAAATAAGTTTGGGAACCACTGGGCTAAAACAATAACAACAAAAACTGGCCAGAAAACAAAAGTTTTAAATTAAATGCAAACCAAGACTGTTTCATCTAGTACAGCGGTTCTTAACCTGTGGGCCGTGATGACAAAAATCTGATCCATGAGTCTCCTTCTGACTTTATTTTATTTTATTTTATTTCCACACCGCCGGCCACTTCTTCCCTGTCGCTGACCATGGCATATGTTCTGTATTAGAAATTAGAGCTGATGTGGTCTATTCAATGTAATTTTCTGAACCAGCACTTCAAACCCAATCTAAAGTTGACCAAAAATTGATTCGTAACCCTTTTGGTACTAATGTTGGAGAGTGGTCCCTGGTCAAAGTGGTCCCTGGTGAAGTGGTTCCTGATCAAAAAGAGATTGGGAGCCACTGTTCTAGTAGGAGAAACCAAATGTGAGATTAGCCAAACAGTGTGAGCAATAAGCTTAATATGTGGAGAGAAAACCATTGTTTGCCATGGTTCCATGGCTAGGTCCATAGATATTAGAATCAAGTCACTATAGATTATGGCATTTCTGTGAAAACAAAATTTATACAAACATATATACACATTGAACATAAAATTAATTTGATTTCATTAACATTTCAGCAGATTCCTGGTCTTCATCACAAGTCTAGAGGAATCTACAATACCACAAGTTTTTCTGTAGAAAGCAAATATCCCTTTTCCTCCACAATGCCTGATACACCCCTGACTTACTTTAGCTTGCCTCTGCTATTCTCATCCCAGATTCAATCAGCACACTTCTTAGGAGAGGAAAGCATGTCCCTTCCAGAACAGTCCTGGGGGAGAAAAGATGAGTCATAGACAGAAATTAGGACATCCCAGTTAAAACACGACCACATTATCAGCTATCAGCTATTTTTTCAAAGTCTTGGAAAGATTTTCCACTGAGAAATATAAACAGATAGTCCTGTTTACTAAATCAAGAATTAAAAATGTTAAAAGAGAGTCTAAATTTCTACATAACCAGTTGCAAATGATTCTTGAAAGGTGCTTTAGACTAACTCCAAATTCATCATAATACTATTTTTAATTTATTCCTATTTATCTAGATTCTTTCCCTTTCCTCTTTCCCTTTGATTTCAGAAACCTAGTTGACTTTAAGTCATAACCATGTCCAGGTTTCGGTGGAATGGAGAGAAGCTGACAGATGAGAACATTAGAGTTATTTGAAAACTCTGAATATACAGACTTGCAATTTGAGATGGTGCAGAATTTTCAAATGAGGGAAAAGAATGGAAAAATCCAAACAGAAGCCCTCAGTTCCAGCTGCTTATTAGAATAATAGTGTTGAAAGAGACCACATGAGCCATTTAGTCCAAATCAAAAGTACAATCAAAGTAGTCCCGACAGATGACAGATTAACTGAGTTTCAATCTCTTTTGAGTTTAGACCTGGTTCATAATAGGCTTGTCCTGCTATGAGTGATTCACAATTACTTAAGAATACAGTATTCTTTATCTGTCAGAATTTTAAGAAACACTGATGCATTATCATAGTGTAGTCAACCTCTAGAGCTAACATGAAATTACAACTTCTAGCTACTGCTTTCAGCATCCCCTTTTTATTATCTTGCTTGCTTATTACACATTGTCTTCCCTCCAAAAATTCATGGATATGTGCATGGCTCTTTTCCCTCTATGTCGTCCTCACAACAATCTGCCTACCCGTATATTCCGGCATATAAGGCGACTGGGCGTATAAGACGACCCCCAACTTTTCCAGTTAAAATATAGAGTTAAGATGACTCCCATGCATAAGAGTACACCTGTGTATAAGACGACCCCTGACTTTTGAGGAGATTTTCTTGGGTTAAAAAGTAGTCTTATACGCCAGAATATACTGTAATTTTTGTTTGGTTGATTAGGCTAAGAGAGAGTGAATAGTTAAAAATCACCATGCATGCATTATGGCTAAGTGGTGATTTAAACCTAGTTCTCTCCAGTCTTTGTCTAGTTCTGTAAAAGTTGTACCACACTGGCTTTCCTAGGGCCCTTCCATACACCCCTATAACCTAGAATATTAAGGCAGATAATCCACAATATCTGTTTTGAACTGAATTATCTGAGTCTATACTTCCATATAATCAAGTTCAATGTGGATTTTATACAGCTGTGTGGAAGGGGCTTTAGTGCTAAAAGAAAAGCTAAAAACTCCTGAATGTCATTTGGGGAAAACACGTTTCAATATTTATATATCATATATGGCATGCATACTGGCATGAAGTGATTTAAAACTAACTAAATAACTTTTAAATTACTGTTTTTTCCTCCATTTTGTTTCTTGTCAGTCACAACATTTGATACTCCTGAGAATATTGGGAATATCTTGAATAGCCAACAAATTGGACCAACTACAGAAATTATCAAAGAAACAGACTTTCCCTTGCAGGCATATAAGCCAAAAGTACAAGTTCCCTTTGAGGTGCTTCCAGGACAGTGCCCTCGGAAAATTGAGATTGAGAGGTAACTAATGATGAGAAAGAAGAATTACTGCCTTATTTCATTGTGGAAAAAAAGACTTAGACCTTGCTTTTGATTGTTTAACTACTTCTGTATAAATAACAATCCAATTCTAACTTTTACTTCTGCATGCATAACAATCCAATTCTATTAAAAGATAGATTTATCTCCAAAAAGCCTAATGATATAAATAATCTCACCTAATGGAGCTGTGACACAGGATGAAGCTTCCACAGGATGATGGAATGACTGTGATGCTGATAGTGTGATTCTTGGATCCATAAGATCCTCAACAACTCTGCTGTCATTCTCTCGAATCCTAGGACATATTCTGATTTTAAACACTGGGTTTTTTGAGGATGGTAGTAAAGAATACCTAGGAAAAAGCTACCAGTTACCCCAGAAGTGACTAGGGGGGGGGGGCTGTCTACTCCCCAAAAAACTTGCGCTTTTTGGGGTGGGTGTCCAAACGTTCTCCCGGTACTAGCCTGGGAGAACATCTGGAGGCCCTACCCCCCACTCCCCACTCCCCAAGCCCCCAGACCCCTTTGAAAAGTAATCAAAACTTACCCGGCCTCCATTACAGGCTTGGAGCAGCTTTCCTGACATGTAGAAATGATGTGCCAGGAGAGCAGGGGAGGATGATTTTCCTTCTCCCCCCACCCCCAATTCTGGCGCCGGGGGAGGTGCTCCAAGCCTGTAATGGGGACTGGGTAAGTTTTCATTACTTTTCAAAGGGGTCTGGGGGATTCGAGGAATGGGATGGTTATTCCCACAGTTTACCAGGTTTATTTAATTTGCCACAAACCAGGTTTTTCCTGTTTTGTGGCGAATCAATTCAGGACTGTCCAGAGCGTTGTCTGGACAGCCTCTCCTTTGTTGCGGTAGATACCACAATAAAGGTACTGTCTGGACGAGCCCTGAGAGTGACAGAAAAATGGTGGCTTAGCCTTGTCATAACACTATGAAACAAAATTTGAAAACATTTCTGTTACTGGTTTGAATGTTTTGTTTCCTGGTTAATTGTCTGGTACTTACTTTGAAAGTAGTTGTTATACTCAAGAAATCAAATTTTTGTGGCTGTCACAAACAATGTTGAGTTGGTTGAGACTCTATGAATTATTCATTTTAAAACTATAACAAAATGTGCTGCAGAACGTCCCACAAAAACAAAGTTTATGCAGTTCAATACATTTTCCCAAGTTTTGTATGATAGAACCAACTAGGAAATAACATTTACAACCCAGGAACAAAAATAGTGTAATGGAGAAGGCTATTTGTAGCCAGTAGTCGTTATGACTGTTTATATATTGGACAATATATTTATGTGGATCAATTTCTGGGGTTCTGTCCCATTCCTTTGTGGACCTCTCATCGTCATCTGATTAACTACTGTAAATAAAGAATTCTGGGGCTTGATAGGACATGCTTAGTTAGATGCACCTCCTCTTATGTTGATTTTAACATTGCCAGTTGCATTCAATGTATGTTTTGCTTTTTTGTGACTTCAAATAGACTCTGATTTATGATGACTCTATCCTAAGGTTTTCTTGGTGAGATTTATTCAGAAAAGTTCTGCATCTATCACCCAATGGATTTCCATGCCTGAATGTGGAATCTAACCCTGTTTTTTCAGAGTCCTAATCCAATACTTAAACCACTACACCCATTTGGCTCTGTATTCAAGATTAGAAAACTGTAGCATAGATTTACAGATAAGAGACTACTAAGCACTCAAATACTAGAAAGAGATTGGCATATTGTTAACAAGGGGATCTGGGTATGCCCCTTAATTAATGTCTCTCTTTGATTACTCTAACTCCGCTCCTGCTCCTGACATGTGCTATTCCATTTGTCATATTTGTTACTCACTGAAACAGATAACACTGTTTTTGTTGCTTATTCAGGAAAGATACCAGTTTCTTTGAATAAATACTTAAATTTGTTTAGCTTATTTAGTTTTAACTCATTTTGTTTCTTAACAGTATACTTAAGAAATTAGTGATACCAAAAATATGAAACATTTAATTAAATTGCTTCAACAGGAGGAGACGGTTATATCTCAGCCTGGATATCAATCAGCTTCTAAAAAATGAAGGAATCAATTCTAATGACCTGATGCCAAGACACCAAGATGATGCTAGTATGCCAACTATTGAGGAGAACAAAGACCCTCTTTTCCCTGTCTATCTCCCATTACAGGTAAGACAGAGGACTGAGTTATCTCTCTCTTTACTACTTCAGGGTTCTCAAACTTTAAAATACACAGCAGTAAACGGAACATATCCTACAAAGTGCTGGGGAAACTAAAGACCAGGACCTTCGTAGAGATACCAAGATGCTTGTTTATAAATCTATAGTCCTTTCCTACCTTGTTATACACCTGTGAAATGTTGACCATCTACAAACGTCACTCTCAACTTCTGGAACAATTAATCAGCTTTGCCTCCAAAAAATATGATATGATGATGATGACAGAGAGACCTTTCTTCCATTGCCTTCACGTTATCTCAATACCGTTCTAAAAGCTTAGTGGACTTTCTGGAATAATTTTGCTTGAACACATTGAGCTGAAATCAGAAAGAAGCAATCATGCTAAACTTCTTGGTTATGGAAAGATGTCTCTGTGCGTGTTATGAAGTCTTCATTTCTTATTTTGTTTAGATTTTTGATGATGAAGAGTTTGATTGCCGGACCCCAGAAGAGTGGTTGTTGTTGGGTGTAGAGCCTAGATCTGAAGATCGGAAACCAATTCCAGGAAAAGCTCTCCTACCTACAGATGATATCCTGGGACATGGTACAGTATAAATGGCATGAATAATAATTACTACCACTTATGGGGAAAAAAGATACAAACAAGATAATATTTTCCCCTTCATTCTTTGAAATATTTCTGTTACAAAAGTGTTTGCATTCTACGTGTTTCATAATTAGGTCTACACCCAATTTTTATTGTCAACTAGAGTGAGCCCATTAGCCCAGTGGCAGCTTTTAAAGTCAATATTTGTGTAAGGTCCATTGATTCAATTTATTTATACAGGTTGGGACTAACAATTGGATTTAGAATGGAATATATATCCCACATTTTTCAACATTTCTAGTGCAGCTGTTAAAATGCTATAAAGCCATTAAAATTATGTTAAATGTTATAAAAGAAAAAAAAATGAACAATAGTAAAATGCTAAAAAGCAATAAAATAAACCAATAAAATATAAGGAAATACAAAATAATAAAACATCCAAACTAAAAAGTGACCCACATTACCCCACCCCCTTTTCAAACAGATAGCAACATTTAAAGTGCTGTAAGGTAAAAATGATTATGTTGACAGTTCTGAAAAGCCAAGGAATATAAGAACCTCATGCTTAAAGTGTAGAAGGGAGGGTATCAGGTGAGTCTTCCTAGAGAAGGTCTTTTTCAGATGAGTTGCTAGTGAGGAGTCTGTCTCCATTTTTCACACACATCCAATAAACTTCAGATGTTGAAGTTTATTGGATGGGGGAATTGATGCACTAAAACCAAGGGTTCTCAAACTGTGCTCTCATACTTTGATGTAGTAGAACCAGGGGTTCTCAAACTATGGAACCATGAGTGATAGTGAGCTTTCGATCTCATCCTTTCCTTCTCCTCCTCATGAGAAATGCAGCCAAATTAAATTTTGGACCTGATGAAAAAACATCAGCAACAACAGCAGCAGCAGCATCCTCTCAGGGCACAGACCACCCCCCCACCCCCGCCCGCTCCCTCACTGCCCAAACTCTTTTTCTTACTGTCCAGACCCCCCCCCTCTTTGTTTCTAAAACTCTGTTCCCTCCCACCGCTCAGGGAGTGCTTTGATTGTGCTTTTCTTACATGGCAGACGGGAGTTGAACTGGATGGCCCCTGGGGTTTCTGCTATTATTATTATTATTTGTATTATTAGTATTACTACTACTACTAGGGGATTGGACTGGATGGCTCCTGGGATTGCTCCTATTATTATTATTAGTTTTACTGGAGCCTTCCACTGAAATACTGCTAAGTTTATATTGGTCATTTTAAATATTGTATTGGTCTTCCTTCCTTCCTTCCTTTTACATTACAAATGAGATATGTGCAGTGTGCATAGGAATTTGTTCATTTTTTTTTTCAATTAGGCCACACAAATACTCTCTATTCATCTGACACTGCCCTGGCTTGTCTGTCAAATTATAAAACGCAATGTGGCCCCTGTATCCAAACATTTGCTTATGCCTGATATAGATATAAATATATATATAGGTATAGATGGATATAGATACACACACACATACATTTCTTGGGGTTACACGAGAAACTTGTTTCAAAAAGGGCTCAGTGTCTGAAAAAGTTTGAGAATTCCTGCAATAGAAGATAGCTCAATAGATATTTGGTCATTATAAATCATTGGGTTTTTTTGTTGCTAAATGAGTCTTTTTTTTTACTTGAAATTCACAGGTATTCATGATGTGACACTAACTGTACTAGCATAAACTTTGTACAGAACTTTTATGTTATGTTCATGTCATGGGACTAAACCAGCATCATCCTTTCATTACTAAGGCTTTTGTGATGTTTATGTTTTTCAGTATCATATTATGTGCCAACTATTCAAAATATGTTGTGTGTCTGCAGTTTTTCAACAATCCTAACACAAAATGTTGATGCTCAGAAATTCTAAAAATGAAATCCTGAAATTATACACTTCAATTAAAAGCACTTGTGTGTTAACATTTAAGGGTGACTTCTTCCTAGGATACTTTTAAGGTGTAATTTCATTAAAAAATAGAGACCTAAACAAGGGATCATTAGGGTAGTACAATTAGGAAAGGGCAATGCATTTTTGCATATCTTAATTAAAGCAATTAGGAAAATGTGTAACCTTTTTTGTTATGCATATATCAGAAGATCCAAAAAGCCACAAACTGATCTACAAATGGATAAATGTTGGCGTCTTGGATTATGATGCGGAGACAAAACTCTACTTGGTACATAAAACAAACCATATGGGCCTAGTCCGGGACAGAAATGGGAGACGTATACTTAATGGAGGAATGACTGAAGAAGGTGGGTTTTAATTAATTTATTATTCAAGATCATTTGCCACCCTCCACTTTCTTGTACATTATTTGATTATCTTCCAAACTGATCATATACATTTTTCCTCAGAAGTAGCTCCCAAAGAGTTCAATATGGTTATTGTTAGAATACACAGGCATGATCTGATCATGCACTTTAATAAAAGTTAATTAAAATGAAGAATGGAATGATTAATTAGCATGTTCCGCCCATACCCAAGCTGGTTATTTGCTCCACAAGTGCCACATGATAACCACAGGTTTGCTACCAGAGGTCAAATAGCAATTGATGGCAGAAAGGAGAAGTATTGAGATTGGGAATATAGTGGAGGAGGAGAGTAACACACATAAATACTGTTATCTTTAAAAGGGAGTATAAAAAGGTTTGATGGCAGATTTCCTGCTACCTTTTGTGGTTAGATACATTGATATTTCTCCTCTGTAATTCTTTCACCCTTACTTTTGATTTGCTCATTCATCTTCCCTTTACAGCCAAAAAAGACTCAGCCACATGCTAGTATTGTGATACACCTACTGACCATTTCACCTCTTTTTTTCTTGTCTGTATTGTCATGGTTCTTAATGCATTTAATTCCTTTCTGATGTTTGCTCAGGGAGAGCCCCTCTGATGCCCTGTCAGTACTGGGTTCCCCGAGTACGTTTGCTTTTTCTTGCTGAAGATCCCCGTGTTTTTGCCCAGCGGGTGATTTCTGCCAATAACATGAGGAAGAAAACACAGGCACTATTGTTATATAATTTATATGTGGACTGTATGCCTGTGGATGGATTACAAAGCATTGAAGAGAAGAGTTTGCAACACATGAAGCAAATGGCACTGGAGACTTCACATCTGAGGAAAGGGAATAAGTAAGTATTCTAGGAATCCTTCACAGGGAGTCAAATTGGTTTAGTAAAACTCTAACTTTCACTGATTTTGGTTTTTGGTAGATTCATGTTATAGCAAGAGCTGAGTGACAGTGGGAGTATCTACTTATAAACTCCCTTCCTCTGTCATTGTTCCTCTCCTTCTTTCTCTGCATACCCTAGTAAGCATAATCACCATGCAAGAGATACAGGTTGAGTGTCCCTTATCTGGAATTGCAAAATACTCTGAAATTGGGAATTCTCCACATGGGTAAATGAGATAGTGACACTTTTAATTTCTGATGGTTCAATATAGACAAACTTTGTACCGTGCACAAAATTATTAACAATATTGTATAAAATTATGTTCAAGCTGTGTGTATAAAGTGTATATGAAACACAGGTGAATTTTGTGTTTAGATTGATATTACTGAGAACTGTTTCCTTTTTGCATTTCTCTAACAATCCTTGTTCTTATATTTTATTCTGTTGTCTTTATTCTCCGAGTAGTAATATTGACCTAATCCAGCTGCAGTTGTAGGAAATTAGTTTTATAGACCAGGGCTCCTTAAAATTTCCACTCACTATCCCTTTCAGCCTGAGAAACAGGACCACAGGTATATGGGTATGTGTTGTCGTTTATTTGTTCAGTCGCTTCCAACTCTTTGTGACCTCATGGACCAGCCCACGCCAGAGCTCCCTGTTGGCCATCACCACCCCCAGCTCTTTCAGAGTCAAGCCAGTCACTTCAAGGATACCATCCATCCATCTTGCCCTTGGTCGGCCGCTCTTTCTTTTTCCTTCCATTTCCCCCAGCATCATTATTTTCTCTAAGCTTTCCTCTCTTCTCATTATGTGTATATAAAAGAGGTATAAAATGAAACATTTATTGATAATAAAGCTGCATTTGCATGGCTTGTTAAATAGGTTGATTTTCCTTTTTATGAAGTACACAGCTAAGAATCTTCTGCAGAGACCACTATAAACACAGCATAACAGATTTGTGTAAATATCTATAACAGGCACTAGGTGACAATCAGAAAACTTTTACTGTTGCCAAGTTTGTCAGAACTCCAACATTGAGCTATTGGGGGTCAGAATTCACAGTTTAAGAGGCAGTGGTATTGACTGTGTCTTCACTGGGGACAGGTATTCCAGATATTTATGTAGATCCAGATGATTTCTTCAAAGCAGAGGGGACTAACAACTAGATGTTTATCAGCTTTAGTTGACATGGAAAACTGCTTCTGTGTACAATATCTTCATCATATCCATTGGGCTTTAGTTTTTAATACCAAAAAGCGGATGACCTCATCCTATATTATTAAACAGCAGTTTCATAATATGGGACATGACAATATGCCATTAGTTGAATTCATTGATCCACAGGCTGCTGATCTGGAGGGCCCACTGTATTGACTTTTATTTATTTGAGATGTGATGGTTTCTCATCCTGCAAAGTTGCAAAACGTCAAGTGAGAAGTAAGAAATAGTAGTAAAAATCTTGCTCTAATTGTCTTTACTCATTTAGCAGTAATACAATCATGTGCCACACAACTGTGTCTCACTGTTCCTTGATCCTTCAGCGTCACTGGCTGTCCCACTTCAGGTCTGCTATTCGGCTTGTTTAATATGCCATAACACTTTTAATGAAGAAGCAAAGCACAAGTGAACACAGGAGACATAAATATGTGTCTATAGATATATGAGTGACACAGATGTATCATTTTGAGAGGTCATTGTTCATTCAGTTAATTAGTTTTTTAATTATGGTTAGCATTTTAGATCGGCTGTACCGCCTGGGGAGAGAAGTGTCTCTAGACTATGAACGTGCCATGAACAAGATTAATTTTGACAGAATTGTCAGTTCCAAGCCTCAGACATTCTCTTATGTCACTTTGCCCGAGAAAGAGGAGGACAAGGTACCAGAAAAGGGTAGGTGGCATAGCAGAAAAAGGCAGTATTTTTCCAGGTTGTAAGAACTATAGAAAAAATTACTTTTTTGTTACTTTTAATTTCAGATATTTGATAAATGATATAGAAAAAGATCACCAATAGTATAAGAAGAGACTGTCCATGTCACACATTTGTATAGTTTACAGGCAGTTAACAAGATGAGTGGATCATGTTGAATCTTGTTCTTGGATATACAGGGACAGCCATTTCCTAAATCTCCTGTGGCAGCTATACTGTTTTCTTTTCCGTGCATTGCCTTTTAATGTATAGGGCACTCAGTAGATACAAAGAAGCTGCTGCCATGAAATCTTCAAGGAACAGAGAAAGATTGGCAAAGGGTTGAGGTAGCACTGCATGTGATGGATATCACCCTTACCTAATTCTTGTTGTAAAGGAAGCTACAGTGTAGCATGAAGAAGGCTTTGATATTCTTAAATTCCATACAAATGTATAGTGAGATATTGGATGTGGTGTTCAGCACTCTAAGGAACCATTGTTTTGATAAGCAAACTATTATCTGTCACAATTACAAGGCTAGATTTGAAAGTTTACAGGAGGTGCTTGGTGAAATTTCAAGTATCAGATATATGCAAACTTGTTTAATTTTCACAATTTCAATGGGTCTCCAAATCCATCTTTTCTTTGCACAGATTTTCCTGATTGCATCTGGAAATGATAGCAGGCATGGCTTCAAGAAATGTCACCTAGGTATTAACCTAGGGTACTGTGTCCCAATGGGCTGTTGGGAATCTTTTTTTGAGATATATATATAAGAAGAGACTATAACTTCATTTCAAAACCAGGGTGGTCTGGGTTCTGGAAAGAACATGCAAGTGCTGAGGGAAGGTGGAAACAATATATTTTCTGCTTTAAAGGAAACTTGTTGAAGAGACGAAAGGATAGTGAGCAACACTAAGTTATTTAAAGTGTTCTGATATTCTTGCAAGGGAAAACTGACTGTTTTGCTAAGTTCTTTTACCCCTTACAAATAGAATGCATTGTTTCATTTTTTTGGTTTTGTGAGACTCCTCTTACTGCTTAAGCTGCATTGTTTTTTTCATCATCAGGCCTCATTGAGATTCCAGAATACCCATTTAGTGAGCAGAGAGAAGATTTTATATTTGTTTCCCTCTTGACACGAGCTGAAGTCATCATGGCTTTGTGCCAGGTGCGGGATGAGTGCAACAAAACTGCAGCAATGTCACTTTTCCATTCAAGTCTGACAAAGTATGGCCGGCTAGAGGAGTTTGAGCAGATCCAGACACAGACCTATTCCCAGGTATAACAGTGGGGACATGGTTCTCTGGAAAGGTGATTATAACCAGTGTATGTGAGAAGGAATGTTAATCTGATGCTCTCAAACTAGGACAGAGAAGAACCAGGTTCACAATTCTTCAGCCATGTGGTAACCTTGGGCCAGTTGTTCTGTTTCGAGCTATCTTATAAGATTGTTGTAAAAGTAGAAGTGGAGGCAAGGCAGGGAATAAAACTTGGTACATTGTTTTGAGCACTATGTTCAATGATGGAATTAAAAATGTAATTATAAGTACAAATCATGCACCTAGCTATAATATGTTGGCTGGTGTCTAAGTTCTCCTGAGACAAATTCTAGGATTTAAATGGGTCCAAAAAGTTTATAAAGGAGATGTCTCCCTAAATGGTTTGTGACTCAGAACCAGCCTAATGAGATCTGAGCATGCTCAGTGGCTAAAGTATGTTGGCTGGTTTAGAATGGAATGGACAACCAGTAGGAAGGGGGAATGGGATGGAATATACTGGAAGAGGACTAGTTGCTTAAACATTGAAGGAGAGCACTCTCCACTGGAGCATTGCTTGACAGCCTGGATTCAAAATAAATAAATAACTATTGACCAAACAGCCACCAGTTTTAAATCAGAATTTGTAGGCCTCTTCTACGCTGCCATATAAAATTCAGATTATCTGCTTTGAACTGGATGATATGGCAGGGGAGACCAGGGCTGGATCTACACTGCCCTGTATCCCAGGTTGTTCTATGATCTTTTAAAATAAATTGTATTTAGATAAAATGCATTTTAAAAAGAAAGGGAAATCTGAACACATGAAGCTTTTCAAATCCCTAGCTTATTATCTCTCTGCTGCCTTACTTCTGGGATGGAGAAAGCAAGCTTGTTTTCTGCTGTCCTGAAGACTAGGATGCGGAGCAATGGCTTCAAACTACAGGAAAGGAGATTCCACCTGAACATTAGGAAGAACGTCCTGACTGTGAGAGCTGTTCAGCAGTTGAACTCTCTGCCCCAGAGTGTGGTGGAGGCTTCTTCTTTGGAGGCTTTTAAACAGAGGCTGGATGGCCATCTGTTAGGAGTGCTTTGAATATGATTCCTACTTCTTGGAAGGAGGTTGGACTGGATGGCCCATGAGGTCTCCTTCAACTCAATTATTCTATGATTCTATGATTCAGCTGCAGATTTATGTATATGAGTCAGCACTATTGTTTGACAGCCTTTGTTGTTTTATTTCCCCCTAGATTTCAATGTTCCTAAAGGATACTTGGATCAATACTTTAAAGATAGCAGTGAGAAGTAGTCTAAGGGACATAGGCAAAGGCTGGTACAACTTATATGAGACCAAATGGGAGGTATACCAGATGTCCAAGCTTCATCAGTTGATGGAGCTTATCAAGTTTATGATGCAAGATACTGTACGTTACCTTATTCAGGATTCATTAGTAAATTTCACTCAGCTTTTTGTGGATGCCTGCCACAGTGTCCTGGATTGTCCTGAAGATATGGAGTGGGGAAATGACCTTGTTAACAGCCCCTACAGGTAAGGAGAGGTGAGAGGAAATGTGTTTGACTTGCGAAAAATGAAAAGCACATTGGTCAGCATTTTTTGTTTATATGACTAGAGGTTTTTGTTTCTATGTTCTGCTTGTCAGAACAGAACACATTATAGTAATGTTCTCTTCCTTAATATGGTACAGTTTTCTCACTGCAACTGAGCTGTTTGGCAAAGGCTGGATATATTTCTACATTTCTCATTTTAAGTTGTTATTACTGGTTTCTACAAGCTTCAGAATAGACATTAAAGTCAACAGGTCACCACCCATTGAGTTTACTGGAAGATCCTGCATATCCCATCCTAGAAGAAAACAGAACTGAAACATGGGCTTGTCACGCAATGGATGCTAGAGTTCCAATGGATGTTGGGAGGGTGAGGTTCACTTGACTTGGCCCTACAATACCCCTTACACATAGCTTGAATTAATACTTTTTTGGCATATGATTGGTAGATACTAATGTGAAGTTACTGATTCAACACAGTTTACATTCATCAGGAGTGTTAGGAATTTCCATATCCTAATGGATGCCTATGGGGATCATCCTTGAAATATCCTACATCCTGTCAGCATGTTCTGATTCCAGGGAGTTTGAGTTGTTCCCCAGTAAAGCAGGGAATTTAATTTTACCTTGTAACTCATAATGTGTTCTCATTCTTTCTGCATCCATTGGAACCAAAGGCAGTAAGAATGGAAGGGAATTGTTTTCAGTTTATTTGTAAATGTGAGTTGCTCTGATCACATTGGAAGTATCCTATAGATGCAACCAAGTAGTGCCTATGCAGCTTCTTTTTATATGCCTATTAGTATAATAGTGTTAATAAAAGCTTGTTAACATTCCGGTCAATTAATTCATGCCATCTTGATAAATTGATGAAATAAGCTGAAACAATAGACTGGATGGGGCATGCAATTTCAAAATGCGTATTATAAGACAAACATAAGCAAACTGAATAAGACTCTCTTAAGAACCATAAAGATAAGAAAACAAAGTCTTGTGGAAAGTTGAAGAAAGGAAAACTAGGGTTGCAATTTTCCCATACCTATTTTCAGTGATCTCTTAACATTCTTTACAGTTCTGTGATTCTGTCTTTGCCAGCTTCGTGGATCTTTTTTTGAAAAAAACCAACAAAGAAGCCATTTCTGGAAGCAATTCATTTTAAATGGTCTCAGCAATCTCCATGTGCTCTCCCTTTTTCAGACCACGAAAAAATCCACTGTTCCTAGTTGATCTAGTTCTGGACCCTACTGGTGTCCACTTCAGCACACCTCTGGAGAACTTTGAAGAAGTAGTTATCTCTCTATTTAATAAAGGGATTTTGGCTACCCACAGAATACCACAGCTGGAGAAAGTGAGTTATTTGAGAAATTAGAGATTCCTTGTTCTAATATGGTTTTAACCCTCAAAACGTATGCTTTGACCATTGCAGTTTGGCTGAAAGTCAGTGCTTCTAGTAGAGATGCTCTACATCTCCCTTTACTATTCCTAATTATTACTCTATCATGGCACTGCATTATCACTGCAATAATTTTATAATAGTTACTAGCTGTACCCAGCCACGCATTGCTGTGGGCATGTGTGGTTTAATGGTAATGAATGAAAAGAGAAAGAGCTGGGTTTGCATTGCTGTGGCCCAGGGAAGGCTTTGATGGTGTCTTCTTTTATGGCCAAAGGGGGTTGTACTGAATGTCCTTTGGGGCACCATTCCAACTGCATGGCCATCTGTCGGGACAGCTTTGATGGTGTCTTCCCTTACTGTAAAATGAGTTTGGACTGGATGGCCTTCCTATACCCCAAAGGGCTTCCCTTGCGTGTCCTTCCCTGCACGGTGTCAAAAGACCTCTTCCCAGCAATCCCCTCCCTCCCTGGACTCCCTCCTCAGCCTCCCTCTCTCTCCTCCAGTTCATGGCCCTCTTTACCTTGTTGGGTTCTGCGCCACCCAAGAGCTGCAACTGCAGCTTCCCCACAACTTCAACCACCAACTCTGCCATTTTGACTGCTGGTGAGGCTTCTTTCACAATGGGAGTGGCCTGCGGCTTCAATGCCTCTACGCTGCAGACCTCTCGGCTCCAAAGCCCTCCCGACAGATGGCTGTCCAGTTGAAAGGGAGCCCCAAAGGCTATGCAGTCCAACCTCCTTTGGCTGCAAAGGAAAACACCATTAAAGCCCTCCCAACTCATGGCCATCCAGATGGAAGGGAGCCCCTGTGTGTGTGTGTGTGTGTGGCTGTGCACACGTGCTTGGATCTCAAAGCAGATAAGGCCAGCTCCTTCACGGTGGGCAGCTGCTCATGCAGCCAGGCTTGCCTTGCAATCCTCCGGTCTTGTGGGGAGGGTTGCCTGGTGGCCACTTGGGCCTCAAGGAGGCCCTATGGTGGCTCCAGCTTGCTGCCGGGGCATGCCTCACCAAGCCTCCAGATTTGAGATCTAGAAACTGTTTCTGATATCATTGGAGTAAATGGCCTCATATAAGATGTGTGATTACATGTTTCATACATTTATCTCCTCTTATCAAAAAGTGCTTCTTCTTCTTTGTTACATCAATATCAGATAATGCTACACACATCATTATTAAAGTGACCTTCAAAATAGATTTGTCTGCAGTTTTTGAAATGTAGTGGTATTGATTTTGGCTAAGGTAAGTTTTTTCATCAAGAGTTGTCTTTTGCAGCAGGTTTGCTTGACATTGTATTTAGATTGTTGAAGGAGGTTGCATTGGGGTCACAACATCACCTCTTTAAAGTAGAAGAGTGTTTGTTGGATTTAGTTAATTTATCTAAATATCAGAAAATCATTCTAAATGATATTGCATAAACACTACCTGCTCTCTCAACAACTAGGATGGGAGTTTTGCAGCCACAAGTAGTTTACAGACATTCATTAGAGTACAAGTGTGATTACTCATAGTGCACATTACATATGGTGTAGACAGATTTTCAGATAAGGTTCTTATAAAGTGTTTTTCTATATTGTGATTTTTTTCCCCAAACCTCTGTTAATACTGGTCAAATTCTGAGGAATAATTCTGGGGAATCAGCTTTCCCACATCATGGTATTCTCTGGATATCTTGAATTACAACTTGTATGTTATTCAGATATCGTCATACTCGCTTGAGATGTTGAGGGTCTCCCAATGAATTTGGAAGATACTATGTAGGGAAAGGCTGCTACACACTCTTACACACAGTAATCATTAGGGTTTTAATTTTATACAGTTGCTTTATTGGAGAAAATGGAAGTATATGGCAATCTAGTTTCTGATAAATGATTATTCTTTTGTTGCTTTCAGTATGTGCTTGAAAACATATTCATCTGTGGAACACCATTGTTGGAGTCTGTGGGCATAAATGAGCCACTAGTGGTAGAGCTACGAAATACTATCTCTACATGTATCTGCAAATCACTGCTGCCACTCCAGGCTTATGCCAAGAATTATGAAAAATACTTAGAACTGAATAATCGTGATATCCGCAGTCTTCTACAGTAAGTCACATTCAAATGATATTGCAAGAACTAGTATAGGAAACTCTAAAAACTGGAAATGATGATGTAACATACCATTCTTCCCTATAGGGGCCCTCCAGTTGCATTTCAGGAAATGCTTTCAATAAGGAGGTACTATCATTCCTTGGGACATTTACAGGACTCCTGGGAGGTCCAGAGGATGTCATTCTTTGTGCATTGATGCCAAATCACCTTAAATGCCAGTAGTCTCATACTGAGCCCATCCTACCCAATACAGCCTTTTATTGGCAAGTGAAGAACAGGAGATGGCGGATTTGTATTTGGACGTGTTCCTGTAACAAGATGCACATGACAAAGGCATACTCCAAACTTCCCAGAAGTTCTCCAAAGTTTCCAGGGATATAGGTGCCACCACCCCTTACTCTTCACCAGGTATTAAATGATCATGTTTCAAAAGGGTGGTATGAAGGCATCAAACAGGTGGATTTTAAGGGAGGGAATTGGACAGAAGGTGCATAAATCAACATGGGCAGAATTTACTCTCCATCTTTCAGTCCAGAATCTTGCTCATTCTTTCTCAGGTATTTATACCAGTGTGAATACAGATATATATTGTGTGATCAACTCACAAATATAGTGTGATCAACTTTTATTTTGATAAGTATTCCCTTAATAATATTTGTGTATATTTCTAGGCAATATGAGGTCCAGTGTCCCCCTGCTCAAGAAGTGAGAGAGATTGTGCACACGTATTTAACAGAAAAGGAGTTGTTGGACAACAGTCTGCCTAGCAACATGGTCATTGGGCCCTTTCATCTCAATGTTGAAGTTGTAAAGCAAAATCTCTCCAAGAAATACAAAGCTTTGGCTACCTCTATGCTGGATATATTGGCTAGGAATTTACACAACCAGGTGGAAGATGTGAGTTTCATAGCTTGTACTTTTAACTAGAGCAGTAGCCAGAGGAATAATTATGTAGCCATATAGAAAATGTACAATGAGAAGAAATAGAATTTGGCTGCAATCATAAATTTATTTTCAAATTGTTCTAATATGCATACTGTATATGCTTATGTATAAGTTGAAAAGTGTGTGCAAAAAATTGACCCCAAAATTGACCATTCAGTTTGATTCTCTTACTACTGCTGTGACTGAAGAACCTGCTGAAATCTCATCTTTCAACTGCCTTCTTCAGCTTGTCTGCTTGCTTTCGTAGAGAGGTTGAGGAGGAGGAGGGACTGTGACAACCGAGGGTGTGTGTGCGAAGTTGTGCTAGAGCAGGCAATCAAAAGATGAGATCACACCAGCTTTTTGAACTTAATATTTTTCAGTGCCATTGGCATTTCTTTGCTCATCATTTGGCTGAACACTCCACCCTACGCCCTATGATATCTCAGGACACTCCTCATTTATTGACTTTTGCCTACCTCCTAATGAACCACATGGTTGTACTTTTGGCCTATTGATGGGTCATGCCAAAATCCACAAGTTTGCCCTCAAAATATGCCTCATATGGTCAATAAAACCACCAGAATAATTCTGGTGTGAGAAAGAATAGCCAATTAAATCAAATAGTTCTATGCCAAAGAGTTAGTGGAGTAGAAGTATCAGACTGAAATAACTGTTAATCATCCTTTTTCCATTCCTAAACATATTCATGAGCAAAATTATTTTGCAGTCTTTTCCTGCAAAACACATCTAGTATGGCATGCTATTCTTATTTTAGTCAATTCCTAAACCCTTTGTAATAGTGAAGGTAAGTTTACTCACTTGAAATGAAGTCCTACACCACAGTTTCAAGATCTAAAACCCTAGCTACATATTTCAAGGAATGCTCAGGTTCCTTTATATCGTATTTTTCCCAGCTTCCCATAATAATACACATTAAAATCTCTTGTTTGGAATTTTGAAACCCACAATACTTTAAAATGTAAAATTTTCCACATGGATGACTGAGATTATGACATCTTTGTTTTCTGATGGTTCAGAGTATGCAAGCTTTCTTTCATGCACAAAATTATTTAAAATATTGCATACAATTACATTCAGGCTATGTGTATATAAAACTGAAATAAATTCTGTGTTTAAATTTGGGTCCCAACTCCAATATATCTCATTATCTACATATGTGCAAATACAGGTATTCCAAAAAGATAAATAAATCCAGTATACCTCTGGTCCCATTTTGGATAAGGGATACTTAGCTTGTGGTTAGAAGAAAACACATGATATAATATTGATGTGATTAGAGTTCCTTTGCTTCATATCCACTTGTCTGATTGTTAGTGGAGATAGTCTTAGGGCAGCATAAAACATGAGTAGGCCCTTTTATATATTTTCCTAGATTAATTTTCCCATGAGGATGCAGGGAGGATTGTAGCTACCCTTGAAGGTAACAGTAACATGTTCCTTGGAATAGATACTTCAGTCTCAATTTCAGTGTTGTTGAACATATGGTATTTCTTTTTTGCTTCCGCTGACTGAACTGTTTGTTTCGGTCTTGACATTCACACCTTCATCACTTTTTTCCCTGCAGATCTGCGAAGCCTTCAAAGCTATCAGCCGAAAGATTTATGAAAAACCAAACAGCATTGAGGAGCTGGCTGAGCTGCGTGAGTGGATGAAAGGAATTCCTGAGAAGCAGAAAGCTCAGGAGGTAAATGGAAAGTTTGGCTGCTGTGGGAGCATGACTGTGAGGCCATGAGGAAAATGCCAAACATACTGAGCTTGATTTTCCTATTAGCTAAACTTTCTATGAAAGAAGCCATTTAAAAACCCCTCTTTACTTAAAGACCTAATATTCAGTGCTTTACACATAATGTCAGATATATAAATATCTGCCCACTGAACAGAAACAGTCAGTCTGTATGCCTGATGAGATATTCCTTTTACTTGAACATCAGAGAGTCAGAGCCATATCTAATTAAGACTGACCTTCAGATACATTGTGATAGGGTCATGCTTTTATCTACTCTGGTTAAGAGAATAATGTCTTCTTAAGAAGTAAGACATTCTGCATGTATAATAATATTAGCAACTGATCACTTTGCCACGTCTACCAAAATAAATTATTATTCAATGGCATTTGAAATCTAAAACTGATTGTACTGGATGGAAGAAAGCAAATGCTTAACTTGCCATTGAAATCAGTGCATATTCTAAGTACTTTTCTGTGTACCGTAGAACAAACTTTTTTCTACTGCTTCAGTGACTAGAATACAAACCAATGGATTAAAATGACATGAAAGGAGATTACAGCAAATCAGGAAGGGGTTTTTTTACTGTAAGAATTGGTAAACAGAGGAATTGACTGCCTTGGAGGGTATTGAACTCTCCATCTTTGGAGGTCTTTAAATAAAATTTGAATGGGCATCTTTCCATAGTTTTTTAGTTGTGTATTGCTACATGGCAAGAAGTTGGATTACTTGGTCCTTGTGATCCTTTCCAACTCTTATGATTCTGTGATTTTTGGATAGTCAGCTCAATTGCTACTGTAGTGGATAAAGACTTCTGTCTATACTATGTAGCCCTTAAATAAGAATTATTGTATTTTCTCTTTTTTCCCTGAACATGTTCTTACCGTTTTAGAACTAAAATTTATGTCTGTATTTTGGTTGATACTTTTAAGTATCACTAAATAAATGTTTAAAATTGTTGCTATTTACATATAATGAAGGTTAGGAACATTTCTTATCGCAATCATAACACATTATATAGTAGTACCATTTAAAGTCAGAGTCGCCCTAGTAATCTGTAGTATGAAGTAATCTATTGATAAATGTCCCCTTTTTTGGTTTTCAGTGTATGGTTTCCCTACTTTAAAAGTAACAGAGTCTGTCTCTGAGGCCCCTTCCACACAGCTGTATAAAATTCACATTGAACTGGATTATATGGCAGTGTAGACTCAGATAACCCAGTTCAAAGCAGATATTGTGGATTGTCTGCCTTGATATTCGGAGTTATATAGCTGTATGGAAAGGGCCCTGAGTTTAGAGGTGATAGCCTGATCATTCAGGTATTCATAAATACACAGCTTTTCCAAATATTTATCATACCTGTGTCTGTTACTTTACTAACCCACAAAAGAGAATCAATAAAACACAAAAGATTTGTGAATCCAGTATTTGGAGTTCTTAGACCAATGTCAGATAAATGTACATAAACCTAGTCTTTTAGTCTTTTGTTTGATTACTAGTCAGTTGAGTACATATTAACTTGATTTTTGTTGGATTTGATTAATTTCTCAGCCATTTATATTTGCATTTTGTGTCTCTTCTTTTATTTATTCATCATTTATTTTTTTAAAATGAAGAGTTTTGTATATAAATTCAGTAATAGATAGTTAGATAATAGATAGATTGATAGAGCAATCAATCCCAGGAAATTAGAATCATATCACTAGACAATAATGGATAATAGGCAAGATTGCACAGTTGTATCTGCATTCTGTGTGTGTGTGTGTGTGTGTTTCTACATATACATACATACATCTTTGGTGGTTTTACAATAGCAAATCCAAGTTTGTGTGAACGAATCAGCTTCTATTGGTGGATAGGCACATGCTGTCATTTACATATAAGAGTAAGATGGAATGAGAAAATGTTATTTAAATAGTAAATGCGAACAGATGTTGCCAAGTCCCTTTTCCATTTTTATTGAGGGGATATAGACTTTTTAGAAACTATGACAGGTGTCACAGATGTGAGCTATTCATGCATATAATGTCTACAAATCTCTGAGAAGCAAATTCTAAAGCACGGCAAAAAATTTATCAAGATATTTTCCAAACAGCTGCAACGCAGTATGTGGGTAGGCATATGGATTTGGCTGCCTAAGTACCAATTCAGGTGCAGAGAAAAAAAAATTGAACAAAGCTGTCTGTTTTGGAATTGCTTCTCACTTTGGACTTAGTCCTTATTTTGGGCACTGAATATTAACATATTGATAAACTGCTTATTAACATTTGCAGTGGGTGACTGTGAGTTTTCCGGGCTATATGGCCATGTTCCAGAAGCATTCTCTCCTGACGTTTCGCCCACATCTATGGCAGGCATCCTCGGCGATTGCAGTACTTTTCTTGATCTCATGCCAGTGTAATATTGTATTGCATTAACCAGAGCAGTATTGGTAGAGCATGTTCAGATTAACAAAATGCACATTTGTAATGTCCTAAAGGACCTTGCAGGTCCTGAAGAACTGTGTTTTGCCTCAAGTATGAAGCAATGTTTCTTGACATTCCTTGGACCTGCTGGATTCCCAGTGTTATTATAATCCAAGAACTATGCGGTAGAATTCTTTCTTCCTTTTCATTTTACCAGAATTCAACTGTTCTCAAACACTAATAGGCATGGAATGAAATGTTTGTCATGGAAATAAAGCCTACCTGACTGCTTCTTTTCCCCTCTGTCTCTGCCACTGTTTAGGAGTTGATAAGTAAGGTCATGGAAGACTATGAAGTCATGGAGGAATTCCTTTACAATTTGACTCAAGATGACTTCAATGATAAGTAAGCACAAGGCATTTCCCCTGCAGTCAGAGCAAGACCTTTGGCTTCAGTTACCATATTTTCTGCCTCAGGGCTTTATTTACACATCAGAGGGCCTCAGCAAATCTCTTCAGGCTGCCAGAGAAGATGCCCACTGAACTACCTTATTCAAATTCAGAAACTGTGGTGGTGGTGAGGCACCCATGTAGTTTCTGAACTTTTTGAAAACAGAGCTTTTATTTTGTCTTGTTTTTCTGGGAGAAACAATGAATTTAATGGCCACTGAGTAGGCAGGTGTACAGGGCTCACAAAAATGTGAGAATTGCTCAAGGGTATCTGCTGGCTGTCAGGCATTGCCAGAATTTCACAGTTGATTTGTAATGTAATAAGTCAGGCACTCAATCTATAAGACATATGCTTATAAGGAAATAGAGTCCCTGACCCACAGTGTTGACATGGTTAAGAAAGACTGGTGAAGGGTAAAATGTCCTTCTCAGGGTTGAACATTGGGGCTAGAACTTGACACAGATGTTCTGAATCCCGATTAACCCATCCAATATACACCTATGATATTTATCAAAGATTGTTTTTTTCCATCTTCCAAAAGGTCAGTAGGTAATGTGAAGGAAATAGGATGGATTAGGAGGAAGGAGAGAGGAAGAGAGATATGGGGCAAGGGTGAGGCACATGAGAAGGCACATGAGGGAGATCTGAAAGTGATTGGAGAGTAATATTTACATGCAGGAAACACTACTTATATTTAGATTTTGTGCTACTGCGGCACCAGAACTATGCCTTTACATACTGATTTCACCCAAGAAGTCATCTGTCATAGTATGCATTATAGACAAATACCATTTTCATTAGATCCTTGATTTTTTTGTTTGATAGACAATTGTGATGACAATTTTGTCCTTGTAGAATTTAAGGACAATGTAAAGAACAGATACATGCTACTAAGCCTGCTTGACAACAACCCACAAGAACTCTTGTTCAAAGCAAGAACATTGTCTGGGAAGAATACAGAAAGGGACTATCTGTAGCCAGGAATATTCTTATGAATGACAGGTGACAGAGTGGAGACAATCCTTATTAAATCTGCAGATGACACAAGACTGGAAGAGTTTGTTAAGACATTGAAAGATACAAACAGAATTCAAAAGAACTCAGATAAACTAGAAAATAGGCTGATGTTAATGAAACAAAATTCAATAGAGACAAGTGCAAAATTATACATTTAGACCATATAAACTAAATGCACATATATAGCATGGGAGACACATGGCTCAACAGAACTAAATTGAGCATGAGCCAGCAGTGTGATTCTGCAGCAAAGAAGCCAAATGGTATTTTAGCCTGCATTAACAGAACCATTGTTTCCAAGTTGAAGGAAATATTTTGCACTGGTCAGGCTTAATCTAGAGCAGTGCATTCAGTTCTGGGTGCATTGTTTAAAGAAGGGTGTAAACACACAGGAGCAGATTCAGAGAAAGGCAATAAAGATAAGAGGTATGGAGAACAAAACATACTTCCGCATTCCCTGCATGCTTTTTTGCTGGAGTGCTTTGCTGGAGTTTTTTTATGGCCTCATAAATTAGTTAATTTAGCCTCCCCACACTTTAAGGTGGTACCTAATTTTCCTACTTGACAGATGCAACTGTCTATTAATCATGAGACAACAAGATTAATAGGAAACGATTATAATGTTTGGTGAAATGGAAGGTAGTAGGAAAAGAAGTAATCTACAGTCCAGATGGCCCTAGGTTTACAAGACCTGGGCAGGTCTGTTGATGGCCAGAGGCCAAGGAGGTTCCTCGAGTCACTTTAAGTTAAGAGACAAATAACAACTAATGGCCCATTTTGTTAAACTATTTTGTTATGGTTAAGATAAGTTTGTATCCTGTTTATAAGTTTATAAGCCATTACCTGCACTGTAGGATGGGGTAGGATTTAGAAACAGGAAATTTGGAAATTTGCTATCTCATTCCGCTTTTATTCCACAATTTTTTTTACTTACATTTAGTATTATAATTTAATTTCTGTGAAACATTTGTGTGAGTCTCTTCATATTCCCAGGTGGGCTGCAAGCGGCTGGCCTTTCAAGCTCACCTCACAGATTGAACAGATACGGCAGCAGCACATTGAAGATGAGGATAGGTTCCGTAAAATTCAACTCATGGATCAAACCAACTTCTTGGAACGTCTGGATGGCCTGCAGGTACAGAGATATCTAGCATTTAAATCTTTCTCTGCATCTTAGAAGTAGATGGGAAGAACTAAAATTAGTGTAAGCATCCGGAACTCATGGAATTATATGATAAAACGGGATGTTGCTGCAGCTTCTTATACTTAAGAGATGGTCAAATCTCAATCTGTTTCCAGTATAAGCTTTCAAGTGATGTTATTTAAATATTTTTATATTGTTTTTATTATATTATGCATAGTTATGTTTTTCTTATTGTGGACACTATGCTGTGCGGGTTGTTAGCCAGCCTGAGTCCCTCTGTGGTGGTGAGATAGGACGGGATATAAATGCTGTAAATAAATAAATAAATATTTAGAATTCTCTGGGAGTATTGGCACAGGAGGAGGGAGATGTGGCACCTTTGTGAAAGAAACGTGTCAAAACCAACTTTTTAAAATGACACAAAAGTAAATAGTTCATAAAAAAAAGTACAAGGAAATTGAAGGCATCCTTGGGATACATTTTCTTTAAATACTACAAAATATTATATTATATTCCATCTGCTTTGGGTCCATATTGCAAGAAAGTTGAGATGTACACTCAAAAGATAAGCCAACCTTTTTGCTGTACACCAGACTTTAGGAAGGTACCAGCTTGGGGAAGGCTACTTCTATTATGCCTAGCATTCCATATCCAATAAGTTACGTCCAACTTTCTGAAAAAGAAGACAAGTTTTAAAAAATTCCATTTTACCAGGACTAGCTGTCGATACCTAATTTTTCTACTTGAAGTGTAGATTTTCTGAGAATGTGTTTCACATCAGAATTGTGCTTTTACATTTATTTCCATATCCCTGAAGGTTAGATTAAACTTTTAAAATATTTTGCATCACCTTTCCCAGTTCAATAGAAAGTTCAGGCAGTATTTGGAGAAAGAAGCATTGGAGACCTTCACAATCATATTTTTATTTCCAATATAGGTTGGGCAAGTATTATGGGAATATAGCAGCAGGAATTGTTGTTTTCATAATAGTGTGAGTCTCCTAAATTAAAATTAAAGAATATGAAATGCCTCTCTCAAGAATTTCTTACCTACCGTGTTAGTGGTGCCATTATCCATTGAACCTGGGGAGAAAGGGATTATTGATGCATTTAATTCTTCATTAATCACGTTAATCATTGTCTTTATTACTGAGCAAGTTTAATCATATCTGAGAGGGGAATTTTCCATTTTTGTAAGAAAGAAACCTATGACCATAGCAATATGAAACTAGATATTCACAGGAATCTGTCATAGATGTACAACCATTACATTAAAATATTTCACAAACATATTTCTAATCCTATGTGTATGTCTTATAAAGTATACCTCCTCACACATTGTGCCTTTTTTTTCACAGCTTGCTGTGGCTGGCTTTTCTGCACACTCAGATATTAACCGTGCCCATGAAATAGCCAATGAAGCAAGGAGAATCAGGAAACAATTGAAAGATTCCCAGCAAATGGCACTACTCTACAACAATAGGGAACGAATTTTTGGCACACCAGTGACTAACGTAAGTACCAAACTCTTTTGCATCATCATTATCCTTCTTTGCATGATTTTGTAAATGGATGGCAGTAATTTACCACCTATTGCCAGCTTTGCTTTACAGTTTCATGATGTTTCTTATCTGTATTAGACCTAGTATAAATCAGTAAACAAGTATATTTCCTATTCCACTGATTTCATCTCTGTGCCAGTTGGACATTATGCTGGTGAATTCATTTGAAAATAGCCAGGATATGTGATTTATATTACAGAAATCTCAAAATGTTAATAGAGCAATAGTCACAGACTGTATTGCTGGCTTGGCCCCCAGTTCGGAAATGAGAAACAGCTCAACAACTCAGCAATAAATGGGAAGGTCCTATGATGGTCTTCAACCTTAAAACATCATGTGTAGTATTGGTTCAACCCTAAAACATCATGTGTAGTATTAAAATCTTTAATTCTCTACTACATCAATATTTTTCTTAACCCTATCTAATCCATATTATTCTAATCAATGCCCCCAAAGCCTCCTGTTTCCATTGCATTCCTTTATTTTTCTTCTGTAATTTGATCCCTCATTAGTATAATCATGAACTAGGTTTCTCTTCAGTTGTTACATATGCAATATTCTCTTCTTGGTTAGTGTGTTTTCACTTTATTTTCATTTCAGGCACTCAGTTTTGGTTGTAAGAAGTATGGCTTACAGTGAGTAGGAGAGTGGGTTATGGGGCCAGCTGCATCTGTATAAACCATGAATAGAATCATGTGGCCCTCCAGATGTAGCTGAATGACATTTTTCATCACCGGCTGTGCTTACTGTGGCTCATGGAAATTGTAGTTCAATAATATCTGTTGACCACCTTTTCCCCACGATGCTGTAACAATCCATTTTACTGATGTATTTGGATATTGGGAGCTGGGCGTAGCTGAGTGATAAAAAACAGGAGCCAAGAAGTCAATTGGTTCAAGTCTCTGAAGCAACAAACCCTAAGATTAATGTTAGCCCACTAATGAAAGCTATTGCAAGCACATCAGCCATTAATAATTGTGTGAGGGTTGTTTTGTTTTGTTTCTCTAGTATGATAAGTTGAACAGGATGGTGAAGGACTTCCAGCCCTTTTATGACCTCTGGACTACAGCATCAGACTGGCTTCGTTGGGCTGAGAGCTGGATGCATGATCCCCTATCTGCAATTGATGCAGAGCAACTAGAGAAGAATGTCAATGAATCCTTTAAAACGATGCACAAGTGTGTGAAACAATTCAAGGATATTCCAGGTAATAGCAGGGCTTGAACTGTTTGGTTGCTTATTTTTTCTGAAATGATGCAAGACAGAACTCATTCACTTTTTCTTGTAGCATTTATTCCCTTGTCAAAGATATTGTGACATAACAGCTCTGCAAAGCCAGTTTCAAAGAACTACAAACAGCAATGAAAAAGTGTTGGCCTGTATACCAGAACTGCAAACTTTCTCTAAAGCTATCTTCTTATGTTGTAAAATATTCTGTAGTGTGGGATTTGGTTTCCTTTTTTGGCTTATGTTTTACACTAAACAATGAATTCTGTTCAAAATGCGGCAATGAATCAGCTTAACAGAAGAGGAGTTGAAGGAATATGTATGAGGAAAGGTTAATCATTTAGAGGAAGAGGATTAAAAATACACACTTGTATAATAGAGTCATTCTTCAAAAACTTGGCTTTCATATATCATAATGTTCTAATCTTGTCAATGGCAATGCTGGAGTGTTATTCCTCCATTTCAAGAGCAACTCGAGGCTATGCATTGCAGTTTGCTACATTGTGAAAAGGTAAAGATTTTTTCTGACATTAAGTCTAGTCGTGTTCGACTCTGGGGGGTGGTGCTAATCTCCATTTTTAAGCCAAAGATCCGGTGTTGTCCGTAGACACCTCCAAGGTCATGTGGCCAGCATGACTGCTTGGAGCACCATTAACTTCCTGCAGAATTGGTACCTATTGATCTACTCACATTTGCATGTTTTTAAACTGCTAGGTTGGCAGAAGCTGGACCTAACAATGGGAGCTCACCCTGCTCCCTGGATTCGAACCACCAACCTTTCAGTCAGCAAGTTCAGCAGCTCAGCGGTTTAACCCACTGCACCACCAGGGGGCCCTAGCCATTTAGAAATAGATGTCTCTTGCCCTTTGCAAAGCCACTGCCTTTCTCATAGCTGTAATCTAGGTGGGAATATGTACATTTGACTCAGAACGCATAGATTTAACTTTGATTCAAATATGCAGATAAGTGGCCTTGAGTCCCAGGAGCCGCCTTATGTCTCAATTTTGTGGAGAAAGGCAGGGTATAGATAAAATGATTGATTAAAATAAGGAACGAATAGGCAAGTCACTTCCCAGAATTTCCTTTTGGATAATACCATGTTGCATTCAGAAGTTCTTTTTCCTTCAATACACTGAATATCCTTGTTCGCCTGTTTACTATGCGCCTGGTTATATTGTATTCTGTAGTGATATTCCTGGAACCATCCTTAATTTTACATTTTAACATTCATTAAAGCATGCCAAGATGTGGCTGTGGAAATCCGTGGCAAGATTGAGGAATTCAGACCCTACATACCTCTGATTCAAGGTCTGCGTAATCCTGGAATGCGCAACCGTCATTGGGAGATGCTATCAGAGGAGATCAAAATCAATGTGAAACCCAAGGCTAACTTGACATTTGCACGCTGTCTGGATATGAAGCTTCAGGACCACATTGAGAGCATATCTAAAGTAGCAGAGATTGCAGGGAAGGAGTATTCAATTGAGCATGTGAGGAGAACATTCTATCTGATTTTCCTTGCCATGTCAGCTATTAGATTATGTATGTGCACGTATGTTTGTGTCTTATATGGCTGTTCTTCACAACAAGAGTTTTAGCATTTACTAGGTACTACATTTCCATCAAAAGTATTGGTTGACTGGGAATAATAAATGGCTGGCCAACCAACAAAATAAGGGGACCACACAACAGTATGTGATAACTAATGGAAAATTATTTAATATTACCTATTTAAAATTAAACATCCTTGAAGTGACTGGCTTGACTTTGAAGGAGCTGGGGGAGGTGACGGCCGACAGGGAGCTCTGGCGTGGGCTGGTCCATGAGGTCACGAAGAGTCAGAAATGACTGAACGAATGAACAACAAATTTAAATTTTCTTCCTGAAGTGTATTATAATGTGACATGGGGGAGCAACTTGATACAGGATAAGCCAAGGCAATTTCTCACTCTCAGACCCCCTCCCCAGCTTCCCTGGGTGAAAACACCTGAGTTGCCTGAGAAGAAACACGATTCCATCAAGTTGCACTTATGGCAGCCCATTAGGAAAGCTGATCCTAGAATTTCATCCTGAAGTCACATGGCCCTAAAAGAAGTTAAACAGTGAAGGCTAGGCAGGGAAAAACCCTGCTTAGAGAGAGGAAATTCTTATCCAGTCCCAAAATGACCCCTAAGTACACTTTGACAGAGGTGGGGTGATGAAGCAACAATGAAAGAAGAGGGTAGGTGGGTGTAACCACCTTAAATAAGTCTAGCCATGGCCCCTGCCCTCCCTGCAGACCCACATATGTGTTGGGAAATTACATTGGCCTCCACTCACTGGAGGTCACCAAATAGACCTCCCCTCAATGCTGGGGCTTGGGTGAGATTGGAAGATGTGGGTAATCTTACATATCTGAGCATTCAATCCATTTGGCTACCTCATCCAAGCAGGTTTTATGGCAGAAAGAAATATCAATTTCCTAATGTTTTATTCTTTTCTCCAATGGTTACAGTCTATTACGAGTGTCGTTATCTCTATTAATGTTTCATTCTCTGTCATATTTTCTGCAATCATTGTTTTGCAATGCATGTTCAATTAGGTTTATTTTTTCCCATTTCCTAGGCCTTGGATAAGATGGAGCATGAATGGGAATCTATCCTCTTTAACTTAATTCCCTATAAAGCAACAGAAACCTTCATTCTAAAAAGCCCTGATGAAGCTTCTCAACTTCTGGATGATCACATTGTTATGACCCAAAGCATGTCATTTTCGCCATTCAAAAAGCCATTTGAGGATAGGATAAACACATGGGAAAATAAGCTGAAGATGACCCAGGTAGAAATGTTCATGAAACTGGAATTAACAGAGAAAATATTCAAAAATTCTTCTGATACTGTACTGGGGAACAGGGGCATCCTGTAAATCCACTTCAGGTTTTCATCCAAACAGTACAGTTTATTGAGCTCCTTTAAGCTGTACTGTTTAGTACCTTGGATAGATTGTTTAAAGTTCAGACTAAAACTCTGAGTAGATTCACCACCCTACTCATATGTAAGTCACTGCTGTTATAGATAGCTCTGGATATATTCCCCCAATTCAATGCTGAAAAATCAAGCTGTATTGACGCAGGAGCTCTGTGTACACATTATAACTTCCACAACGCTTTGGAGCAGAATTTAATGAGTCTGGATAGCTGTCAGGCTTGACTTCCTTCAGTAAATTAAAGAGAAACTTTCATCCTGTGAAAACTTTATACTTGGAATATAATATATTTGTTAAGAAATACAGTCTTCTGTATATTAGTCACACTGCTGCGTAACTTCCCCTTGAAAGGTCTCATTTTGTAAGTTTCACTCATAGGCTCAGAAGTCATTCAAGGCCAAACTAGTCCAACTAGAATAGAGTCATGTGTTAGGGCATTCGATCTGTCATCAAATTACTTTAAATGTGAGGACATCTAAAAGTATGTTAGGGGGAGCTTTCATGCCTTCTCATTCCAAGTCAAAGTTAAGTCAACTAAGACTGAAGCAACTTAGGAATTAACAGAGCATGCTGTCATATAAAATCCACATAAAACTCTTGCTGTGTGGAGATCATTTTTAAATTCTGTTTTTATCCTGGTGGGTCTGATATTTGGGACCTCACTGGAATAAAAAGACCTTCTAAAGTAATTGAAAGGTGACACATTTATTTATTTATTATTTACGATATTTCTATCCCGCCTTTCTCAAGCCCGAAGGCGACTCAAGGCGGCTTACAAATTGGCAGCAATTTGATGACATAACAATCCACAATATACAATTAAAACATTTAAAACAGCATTATAAAATCAATATAAAATCAATACAATACAAAACCTATTAAAACAAATAATAACCAATGTCTTTTTCGTGCTTCTTGGCAGGAGGTTGGGCTATATGGCCCATGAGGTCTCTTCCAACTCTATGATTCTTCTTGTGAATCTCACTTTCCAATAGCTTCATCTAAGCCATTCCATATTTCAAACTTACATAATTCTGTGTTTGTCTATTGCACTACATTCCCAAAGTTAATGTTTCTGGGCTAGAGCTAAGGTATTCAAACAGCTCTTTTATGAATAGGGGAATGCATATGTGTGTATCCTTCACAGTGATATAGTATATTAGTATATTGCTTTGATCAGTGAAGCACTTTGACAAAGCACTGGTAGAGCTGGCTATTATTTTATCTTTCTTTTGCTTTATTTATGGTCAGAAGCCATCCTTATATACTCGGCCCAGAGTCTTCACTATATGGCCTGATAACCTCAGTTTGACAAAGGGATGAAACCTAAGATCATAAGGAATCAGGTGACATGCCTGCAGTGATGTAGCAATGTGTGCTTTGAATGTGTGGTTGTGCTTGGTTTTCCTCCTTTTATTCAAGACATTGGGGGTGATGATGTTTTAGGTATGCTGAGAATTTTTTTAACCCAGATAGACAACTCTACCTATAGAATTTCAGGTATTATAATACATTTGTTTTTAAAATAATAATCTTAGTGTATTAGGCATATCAAGAAAGCACAGCAAAGGTTATGATGGGCTTAGACAGTAAGTAGTGTAACCATCTTAAAGTGCTAAAATATTGTTACCTGTAGGTTGAATAATGGTTGATTCCTAGCCACAAGTGACAATATAAGAAGAGAAAGAGTTAAGTTGCAGTTCCCATTATGTTAGAATGTAGCATATGAACCAAGGTGGATGTCTAGGACTGAGATGCCCTTTACTTCAGGCTCAGAAAGTCTCAATACACATTTATTTTTCTGTATGGCTTCTTGACCATCCACAGAAGTCTCAGGGCTGCCTGCTTTGAAGAAGACACTTAATTACACACCTGTCTGCCCACGAAATCTGAAGAGCAGAGAGCAAAGTAATTTCTTAACCTCCAGCCTGACTCGGAGAGATATTGTATGCCTGCCAGTACCAATGAGCCTAGAAGAGCTCCAAACATCTTTAATCAGGCACTGGGGAAGTGGTGTTTTGAACCAAAGTCACAACACTTCAAAAAGTGTTGATTTTAAAAATAAATAAACAAACAAACATCAGAGGCATTCGTCAAGTAATTACTCTAACTGTTCATAGAGAACATTGTGCAGTTGTATCAGCTGGACCGTTAACTAATTTAATGCGGGCTGGATCTGGGTTCTGTTCCATGTTTAGCCCTAGCTAAGTAAGAAGTGTTACTCTTCTTGAATAATAAGCTCTGGTGAAGTTCATTTTCAGTGACACTGTGGAAAGTTGGTTCACAGTTTTCCATTAATTCTTGAAAATGGAATGCCATCCTATTTCTAGAGCTATCAATTCTTGACCAGAAACAGGGGTGGGGAATATGTTAACCTCTAAATGTTGCTGGACTCCCATGATTTCACGGTTTGCTTGGGAAATTGTAGCCCAAGAACATATGTAGAACCATACTCTCTGCACCTCTGACATGAAGGGAATTTCTTTTACACGTGTTCAGTATTAACTGGATGCCAGAGAAGGGCATATTTGTTTCTGATAGCAAAAATTTCAGTTTTAGACCTTGCAATACATAACAAAAAGAAACAGTGCAACACTGAGCCCAGGTAAATTGGCACCTTCAAAATAACTTTCCAAGGTCCAGAAGAGGGCAATAATGATCCATAGACTCTTGCTCACTGTGACTTAAATACATATAAGTTATAACAGATGTGGTGTTCTCAGTCCCAGGGCAAGAGAAGTTCCAGAAATGGATGCTTGAGCGATATGAATTGAGCAGAAGCAGATCCTTGCTGAATCCAAAGCACTTTAATTGGATGCTGAGGCCCTAGGACTTGGGAAGATATGTTCTGTGTCAGCCCAGAGCTGTCACAAAGTAACTTTCTCATTCCACCCCTCATAAACAAAATAGAAAAAAAATGTCTGACAGAAATGGAATACGTTAATCTACCTATACTGGTACAAACTAATAGGGCTTTAGAAGATCTACTGCTTCATTCTTTCTCCAATCAATCTAATCGTGCAATTCACAATAGTCATAATTATGTTTCTTCCTTCTTAAACTATACAAGTGTAAGTATGCTTCCATTTTTTTTAGTTATGACCATTGTATAAAGAATATGTGATGATCATATAAGATATATAAGATCTTATAATATATAAGATATAGGCTGAGCGAAGGAAGATAGATGCTTTTGAATTGTGGTGTTAGAGGAAAGTTCTGAGAGTGCCTTGGACCACGAGAAGATCCAACCAGTCCATACTTCAGGAAATAAAGCCCGACTGCTCATTGGAGGGAAGGATAGTAGAGGCAAAGATGAAGTACTTTGGCCACATCATGAGAAGAAAGGAAAGCTTAGAGAAGGCAATTATGCTGGGGAAAATGGATGGAAAAAGGAAGAGGGGCCAACCAAGGGCAAGATGGATGGATGGCATCCTTGAAGTGACTGGCTTGACTTTGAAGGAGCTGGGGGTGGTGACAGCCGACAGGGAGCTCTGGCATGGGCTGATCCAGGAGATCACAAAGAGTCGGAAACGACTGAACGAATGAACAACAACATAAAGAATACATTCTTCACTAAGTTTGGATGCTTCAGTATATTTGAATTTTGAATGTGATTTATAAGTATCCTGTTATCTCTGGTGTCTGGATTATTACTTCTTTGCCTTTTGGCGAAGATCAAGTGTAGTATCATTAGCACCTCTTGAATGTCCCCGTTGTCATATAAATCCTATTACACTTAGCTATTACCAAGCAGCACATCTCTAAAATTTCCAGATTGATACTGAATCACAGTATAAGCATTGTTGTTCCAAAGCTTTTCCCAATGGAGTAGATTCAGAAATTCAATTTAAAACATCACTTTGAATGTCTTGTACAAAAGGAGGCTGCAACTATAAAAGCATGATGGTTGTCACTAGTATTGCAAGCACTTTAGAAGAATTTAATGAAGTCTTGATTTTGTAGGGATTCAAAGAACATAACTAAATGTAGCCAAACCCCAGCATTACAGCTACAAACTTTGATATTTATGTATTCAGCTCCTGAAAGTATTGACACCACTGAAAGCTAGACATATTAAAATAATTATTAAGGAGTTGGAGAGTTGGCATAAATATACAGTAGAAGAAAAATACCATGTTTCATTGCATAATAGTCACAGTCCCCCCCCCCCAATTTGGGGTGTATGTGTGAGTAGTATGCTATGGTGACCATCACACGGTGAAAAAAAGCCCCATTTGAGGGGCTTCCTTCACTGCGTAATAGTGGTCCCTTTGAGGGTGCAGTCACAGGGGGTGACGTGCTGTACTCAAAGGGAGCACTTGCCTTCAAAGGGAGCAGTTGCGTGGACACATGAAACCTCACCTGCCCTCACAACTACACCCTCAAACAAAGCAAAGAAGGGCTTCCAGTCAGTCCCAACCCTACAGCAACAAAAGGCAAAGAAGGCAAACAGAGGGAGGAGGTGTGACTCTTTCCCAGTTACTGTGGGGCTTGACTCGGCACCCAGTGCCAAAACAGCAGTCACACCCTTAGTTCACTTGCTCGGGTGAGTGAACTAAGGGTGCAACTATTATGTGAGGAATAGCAAAACTAGGTTCTTGCCTTCCCCAAAAAGACTAATATGTAATGGTAGCTATTATGCAATGAAATACAGTATCTTATTTTCTATTTTCTGTGTTTTGCACCTTTTTCTACATTATTTCCATCATACATCTTTAAAATGCATTTCAGTTTTATTCTGTTTGGTATATAGTGAATGGAAATGTTTAATGCTGCAAGATGTGGCTCTTTCCCTTTACAATTCTGCAGATCACTGAGGAGGTTCTGTAGAACACTGAAGCAGATGTGCAAAAGCTTTGTTTCTTAAAAAATGCAGAGTTATCTATTAAGATGTCCCAGTTGGGTAGATTTCTTTCTAGCATTTTCCAGCACCTTGCCAACAGGCCAAACCTAGACCCGATACTTTTGGCAGGGGATTGATTATTTCATGGAGAGAGTTCAAAATTTTCTAGGACAATTGAGAAAATTTGAATCCATGATATACAAGACAATGGGGTCCCCTGTGGCTTTGATCATCTTACTTGATAATTAACATTATAGAAGTATATGTCACTCTTTTGATTTTTTTTTTTGTAACAAGCCTAGCAAGTACTGTTTCAATTTTCAATTTTTGCAGTCCATAGGGAAAGTGTTTGAAGTCATTGTTTGTAGCCCATTTGTCTCTTATTTCTGCATATATTTTGTGCTTCCTTTATTTTTGGATTATGGTGGCCGTTGGATAGGAACAATAACATTTGTATTATAAAATATCTGGACTTGCCTCAAAAGTTTCAGCTTGCTTTCCTTTTCTCTTTTCTCTTTTCATTCTCTCACAGGGATATTTTCTATGAAATCAGTGGATTATAGCTTGAGTACTATTTCACAGCTCCTTTTGTAAAGAAAATCCTTCTGTTCGGTTGTTTCTGATACTTATATGTCCTTTGCCAATTTTCTGCTCAGGTTATCTTAAGTCTGAGCCCCAAACACGAATAACTGAGCTGATTGTTTTACTTGGTGTGCCTTCCCAGGATGTCTTGGAGGAATGGCTGACTTGTCAGCGTTCATGGCTATATCTTGAGCCCATTTTTAGCTCAGAAGACATTAACAGACAGTTGCCAGTGGAAAGCAAACGCTACCAAACTATGGAGAGGACATGGAGAAAGATCATGCAGCATGCCGAAGAGAACAGAGAGGTGATGTTATACCTATTTGTGTGTACTGATGTTATCCAAAACTGCATACATTGGTTCATCTGAGGATTTAAAACAGTTATAGCTGATAACATTTTTATCTGAGCATTTTAGTTATACATTTATTAGATTTGGATATCCATCTCAATTAGTTCCAATTGATTGTAAGATTTACACTAATTTCAGTACCACCAACCCACACACACACACATCCTGTGATTTTAAAGTGTACCCCATTTCTAGAGATGTTTATATGGGAGGAAAATGAATCTTATAATAAAATATAGAATTTAATGCTTTCCTTGTTTCGCCTTATACCAGAACAGATTGTGCTCATGCTTCCGACATTCCATTTCCTCTTCCCCACAACTGCCAGAATTTGTTGTGATGTTTGGTTTTGGTAAACTGTGTTAATATTAGTTTTCAAGGTATGATAAGACTCTAAAAGAGGTTTGCAATCTCATCCCTCTGATGGACCAGATTAAATGAGAGAGTAGGAGAGTGGTAGCAGGATGAACCACATCCAAAATGGTCAGGGCCATCCCTTCCTTCCCCCTATTTTGTTCCTTTGTTAAATTCTCTCACTCTCCTTTTTTAATTTTTCCCTTGTGTAACGGGCTGCCAATGATGGAATAGTTCTCTCTTCCAGAAGTCTACACTTAGCACAATGGCTTTCTGAAATCAATGCCAGGTCTGCAAATTCTAACCCTTGCTGTAGACTGAAGCTAATATTTGGATAGTAATCCTCACTATAACAACTAGTTCTCTGAACTGTATTATTTTGATAATACAGTGCTACCTTGCTTTATATTGCACTAACCAGTTTGTTTCAGAGCATAATGCCAAGAGTCTTATTACCAATGCTTGTTTGAAGTTAGCTTCAAAATGCAAAACTTAATTCCAATTTGAAAGGTTACTCTGTCTGAGGCCCCTTCCACACAGCTGAATGAAATCCCACATTTTCTGCTTTGAACTGGAATATATGACAGTGTGAACTCAGATAACCCAGTTCAAAGAAGATATTATTATTATTATTATTATTATTATTATTATTATTATTAATTATTATTAAACTTTATTTGTACCCCGCTAGCATCTCCCGAAGGACTCGATGCAGCTTACAAAGGCCGAGGCCTCAACATAACAACAACATAAAACAATACAACTCAAAGCAAATCAAAAACATAAAGCAATATCAACAAAACATTACACCATAAACACAGTAAAATCAAGGCCGGGCCAAGTAGTGGGTACAGATTAAAAAGTGCTGGGTGTGATAGGCGGCATGTTGGATTTCAGGGCATGTACAATGTGCAGAGGATCTTAAAACTCTTAATAAACTGCTTCTGGGACATAGTGCTGAAGTTTCCTATTCCGGGAAGGCACATCGGAACAGCCAGGTCTTCAAACTCTTCCTAAAGCCTGCCAACGTGGGTGCTAATCTGATGTCGTTGGGGAGGGTGTTCCAAAGTTGGGGGGCAACCACAGAAAAGGCCCTATCCCTCGTCCCCACCAACCGCGATTGCGACATTGTGGGATTTTCTGCCTTAATATTCTGGGTTATATGGCAGTGTGAAAAGGCCCTGAGTCATGTATGTTTCTGAGAGTAATCAGTTCATGTGCCAGCATAGCTAAGTATTGGCTGTTCTGTTCCAGGTGATTAACGTATGTCCAGATCCCAGGCTGCTGGAAAAGCTGCGGGAATGTAATAAACTGCTGGACTTGGTGCAGAAAGGCCTGAGCGAATACTTGGAGACTAAGAGAGGAGCATTCCCAAGGTATTTCCATGATGTCATGTACTTTGATATACTTCCTGCCTCAGAAGAGAAAGTGCAGAAGATTCCTCTCATTCTCATATGTAGTTGGATAGCTATAAACACACACATACAACATGTATATGTTACCTTCATCCTAACATGGCAACCAAGGCAGGACATTGTTTTATTCATACATATGTGTGTGTGTGTGTGTGTGTGTGTGTGTGTGTATATATATATGTATATGTATATGTATATATGCATGTGTTTATATATGCATGTTTATATACACACACACACATACACATATCTGACAAAGGTTGGTATGTATGTTTGCACTAACATATTTTATTTTATTTTGTTATATCCCAATTTTATCAACAAGGTAATTAATAATATCCTTACTAGAATTTTAGGAATGGGACTAATCTGAGCACGTCATTCCTCCCTGCAGTATTCGAGAAAAGCATATCAAGAGTAGGAGGAAAAGAATAGACAAGGAAGTGATAGCATGTGGGTTTAGTTCTTTGTTTCAAGACCATTAAAATGCTGTATTCTGTTTGGCATTTAAAATGCTTGTTCGGGAGGATGGTGAAAGCTTTAAAGCAAGGATGGGAATTGCAAAGTTTCTTCATATGTGGCCATTAGAGTATCTAGTGCATTTCCTGACATCTCACTGGCTCCCGAATTCCCACCAAATCTTTGGCCAAATATTCAGCCAAAAAGGGGGTTTTAATTAAAAGCCCCAACAGTTGAAATAGTCTGGAATGATGAAATATGCTGTTTTGGAGGACTAAAACAGCAAGAATTCATCTGCCCTCCCCCACATATCCCTAAAGTCAACCAGGAATGATATGACGTTTCTTCAGAGCATCCACACACAAAAAAGACATGATGGTGTGCTATGGTTCTCTGGAGCTTCCAAACTGCCCAAAATCAGTGGATGTGGTGGTTCATCCACCTGCTTTAAGGCTAATTTTCAACATGTTGTATTACTGTTCCTAGTTCCAAAAATAAAGAACAGGGACAAATCAGGAGCTTTCTCTCTTTCCAGATTCTACTTCCTTTCTGATGATGAGCTGTTAGAAATACTGTCTCAGACTAAGGACCCTACAGCTGTGCAGCCCCATCTTCGCAAATGCTTTGAGAATATTGCACGGGTAAATAACCATCATTTATCCTTGTGGGATGTGGAAGATCCTACTTGTTTTATTGAAAGTCAGAAAAAGTGTGAGACACAGTGTATTGTTTCTATGGTGTTAGCATGATTGTGATTCAAATGAACAAGAAATTGAGATCTCTGACTTTACATTGGGACAAGAATCATGCAAGCCTACCTAAGTTTATTGCATTGCAACTCCTGTCATTCCTCAACATTGGCTCTATTGGCAAAGCCTCTTGGAATTTGCAAATCATTATCATTAGATGTCCAGCTTTGCTTTGCATGAACAGAGTCTACTTCAGGGCCACATGCTTGCAATACTGTCTCTGTGCTTACAATAGTAACACTATCAAGATATATATAGTTCTCTCCATAATTTTTGCGGATTCGATTAACATATTCTCTCTAGGAATCTCTACATTTTCCAGTGTTACTTTGTGATCAACTTCTAGCAGACATTGACCACAGTGTCATACAGGAGGATCTACAGATCCTTAGATAGGTGTTATCTCAGGCTAAAAAAAAAATAGGGTTTTTATTTACTGTTTTTCCAATTTCACATGTGTTCTGCACCTGTAATCCCTGCAAAAGTGGAGGACTTATTGTATGATCACTTCTCAGTAGTAAGTGACCACACAATTATGGCAATTTATAAACTTTCTATGGTTTGTGGTGAGTTTTCCAGGATGTATGACCATGTTCCAGAAGTATTTTGTCCTGATATTTCACCTGCATCTATGGCAGGCATCCTCAGAGGTTGTGAGGTCTGTTGGAAACTAGGAAAAGGGGTTTTATATATATGTGGAATGTCCCAGGTGAGAGAAAGAACTCTTGTCTGTTTTAAATAGGTGTGAATGTTTCA